ATTAGCCGGGCATGGTGGTAATACCTGTAATCCCAGCTACTCAGGAAGCTGAGACAAGAGAATTGCTTGAACCCAGGAGGCCAGGCATGGTGGCTCATGCCTGAAATCTCAGCACTTTGGGAGGCCAAGGTGGGTGGATCACCTGAAGTCAGGAGTTTGAGACCATCCTGGCCAATATGGGAAACCTGGTCTCTACTAAAAAAAAAAAACAAAAAACAAAAATTAGCCGGGCATGGTGGCGCAGAGCAAGACTTCGTCTAAAAAAAAAAAAAGTAATATCTATCATACAGACCTTATTCCATTTTCTCCATTTGTTCCAATAAAGTCCTCCATCACTCCCCTACTCCTTTCCATCCTCAGAATCCATTAAAGATCAGACTACATTTAGCTGTGGACCTGGGATTTGGACTTTTCCGCTGAGCAGTAGGGGGCGGGGGCCTCAGAGATTCTGCAGCCCTGGGCCCTGCTTTGGGAGGCTACTCTAGATACAGACAGTGCTGGCCCTGGACTCAGAGGTGCTGGTGTGGTCCCATCCATAGGTGAAGCCCTTGAGTCCCACTTCAGCCCCAGAGATGTCTTCCTAGGCCCTGGAGGTGCGAGCTGGATGGGACACTGCCCCTGTTCCAGGGCTTGCCCTGGACAAATTCAGCCTTGTAATAAACTGGCCCTTTGGGTATCAGGTGAGGACTGGTCCCTCAGTCTCCACAACCACCCCTGCAGCGTTACTTTCTTCTCCACTTTTACAGTTAAAAAGGGAGAGTTTCTGCTTTTCCATCTGTGCGAGGAAGCTGCAGACGGCCACATGGGGCTACATGTTGCCTCTGGAAAGACCACTGGGTGCATAACCAATGTAAACCTTGCCTGAGTCAGCCAGGTCAGGGGCCGCCTCTGCAGCCTTCCAGGCTTGCTCCTCGTGGGTGGGCGTGTCGAGTCAGGCCTCCAGAACTTCTGGAGCATGTCAAGGCTCCTCCTCCACCCTGACCTGCCACAGTCATTCTTGGGAGAGACTTCACGAGGTCCAGAGGTGTCCCATCACCCATGGATAACCTCTCCAGTGGCCACTGCTTTGGTCACACCCATGAGGCCACATGGTCCTCTAAGCTTCAAAGCATTTACGTTCTACAGAAGGCAAGGACTGTGATCCACACAGCTCTGGGCCCCTGGCAGCGCTCACAGGACTGTTTAATGACTCTTCATGTGGCTTTCAGACATGATATTAAGCATCTGTACATTAGGGAGGGCAGGTGATATGGTCTTCATTTTCAGATGAGGAAACAGGTGTACTGACAAATCTCTAAGGATCCTATCTAAGATCATCACAAAAAGAAAACCGGAAATGGAGTGCAAGGCCCTCAAAGTACTGTTGGGGAAACACGCTCAGAGGTCCCCAGGTTTGATTCCTGGCTGTACTACTTTGTGCTGGTGACCTTCCTTCTGGGTATAAGGAGATATTATTATCCATGACTGCATATTAGAGGCAGAGGTGGGGCCAGAATCTGGGGAACTTTCCATGCCACAGGTTCTAGAGAGCAATTAATAACAATACAGTAACAGCAACAGTAGTTGTCGTCATAGAATGCTTGCCATGGGCCAGGGTTCTAAGCACGTCACAGCTACTAATGCATTCAATCCTTACATAATCCCTAGGGGAAGGTGTATTATCACCACCATCAGCTCATTTTGTAAATGGGGAAACTAAAGCTTAGAGGTCTTAAGACTTGTAAGAGGCAGGCGAGATGGAAAGCCAGGTCAGGGCGCTGCTGGAGCAGAGCATCTGGGCTGAGAACTGGACAGGGTGGGCGCTCATCTGGCTCAGGCACTTTGGGGGATCTAATGCTGACTCTTTCATTTCATTTCATTTGACCTTGAGGGCCTCCCTTTTCTCATCTGTAAAACGGGAGAGTGTGTGCAGGGAAAGTCTGGGTTCTCCTCCACACGAGTAAAATCACTACACACAAGAGCCGTCAGTTTCCTCCCCTGTTCTGTAAACCAAAACGTCGAAGTTGTAAAGAACGTTGGTGGAGGCCGGGCGCGGTGGCTCAAGCCTGTAATCCCAGCACTTTGGGAGGCCGAGACGGGTGGATCACGAGGTCAGGAGATCGAGATCATCCTGGCTAACCCGGTGAAACCCCGTCTCTACTAAAAAAAATACAGAAAACTAGCCGGGTGAGGTGGCGGGCGCCTGTAGTCCCAGCTACTCGGGAGGCTGACGCAGGAGAATGGCGGGAACCCAGGAGGCGGAGCTTGCAGTGAGCCGAGATCCGGCCACTGCACTCCAGCCTGGGCGACAGAGCGAGACTCCGTCTCAAAAAAAAAAAAAAAAAAAAAAAAGAACGTTGGTGGAGAGTAGGTTCTCACCTTGACTGATAGTTTGTTTATCTATCTATCTACCTATTATTTTTTGAGACAGAGTCTCCCTGTGTCATCCAGGCTGGAGTGCAGTGGTGCAATCTCAGCTCACTGCAGCCTCGACCTCGCGGGATCAAGCGATTCTGCAGCCTCAGCTTCCCTATTAGCTGAGACTAAAGGTGCGCACCACCACGGCCGGCTAATTTTTGTATTTTTAGTAGAGACGGGGTTTCATCATGTTGGTCAGGCTGGTCTCCAACTCCTGTCCTCAGGTGATCCGCCCACCTCGGCCTCCCAAAGTGCTGGGATTACAGACGTGAGCCCGACCTTGAATGATAGTTGATAAAATTATTTCGTGTCATTTCTGAACTCGGCTTGAGGTGGGAAGGGAATGGAAAAGACACCTTCTCTCGGGTCCTTTTGCCCAGCGGCCCCTTTACAGGCCACAGATTGCACTCTCCCTGCTCCCAAGCTGGAGTTTCCGAGCTCTGGCGGAGCCCAAAGGCATTCTCTCAGGGAAAGCTGATAGTTGGCTCCTCGGCATCCACGTGCTAACCCGGCAGGCGCCTGCTGACTGCTCTGCTGCAGCGCCGAACGCGACCAGTAGCGGAATGAGGGGCGGGGAAGGCGGTGACGTCAAAGTCAAGGCCTACCCTTCTTAAAGGCGCAGGTTAGCCCACCGCCTCCTCCCCCTGCCCCCGCGTGCTGGTTTCTCTGTTAGGACAAATAAGCACCATGGCGCAAAAGTTCTAAACGCGAGGTGGGTGGTGGAGCCTGGGGTACGGGGTTGCCCCGGGAAATAAAGTGTCTCCCTGACAAGCGGGATGGGAGAGGGCAGTGCTGGACTTAAGCCCGCCTGTCTCCTGAGGAGGCAGTGTGGGGGCCGTGGGAAAAGCACCGGCCGGTTCGAATCTCGGGCTCTTCACGTCGAGCCTCAGTTTCACTCTCTGTAAAATGGGATAATCTATTTATTTTTCTTTTTGAGACGGAGTTTCACTCTTGTTGCCCAGGCTGGAGTGCAATGGCGCAGTCTCGGCTCACCGCAACCTCCGCCTCCCGGGTTTAAGCGATTCTCCTGCCTCAGCCTCCCGAGTAGCTGGGATTACCGGCATAAGCCACCACGCCCAGCTAATTTTTTGTATTTTTAGTAGAGACGAGGTTTCACCATGTTGGTCAGGCTGCTCTCGAACTCCTGACCTCTGGTGATCCGCCCGCCTCGACCTCCCAAAAGGCTGGGATTACAGGCATCAGCCACCGCGCTCGGCCTTTTTTTCTGAGATGGAGTCTCACTCTGTTGCCCAGTCTGGAATGCAGTGGTGCCATCTTGGCTCACTGCAACCTCCGCCTCCCGGGTTCAAGCGATTCTCCTGCCTCAGCCTCCCGAGTAGCTGGGATTACAGGCATGTGCCACCACACCCGGTTAATTTTGTATTTTTAGTAGAGACGGGGTTTCACCATGTTGGCCAGACTGGTCTCGAACTCCTGACTTGAAGTGATCCGCCCGCCTCGGCCTCCTAAAGTGCTGGATTACAGGCGTGAGCCACCGCGCCCGGCCTGGGGTTGGGGTAATCTATTTCAACAATAACCTACTGCAAAGAGTTTTGAGACTCAGAAGAAATCACGATACGAGAGCAACCAACAGCGAAACGTCGGTGTCCTCCCGCCCTCAGTGCGCATTCCCTTCCCGCGCAGGAGTCATTCTGGGCCTTAGGCGGGGTTGTGATTTGCTCAAGGTCACGCGGAAGTGGGATGTGGCTCCCCATGGCTTTCCCGGCTCCCCCGGCCAGCTCTAGTCCCAGCCCGCCCGGCCCGGGCTGTAGCTCGGCTCACCCAGTGGCGCACACCCGCACGGGGCCCTGTGGTTTACAAAGCATTTTGCAGTTGCAGGCCTGTTCCCTAACCTGCAAAATGGGGGCGATGCTAAGGCCGGCGAGAGAAGTCGCCGCGAAGTTTTCAAGTCTCGGCGGGGAGCCCGGCAAGTAACTTCGTCGTTATTGTGCGGTCTCTCGGCGATCTCGAATAACTCATTCTCACTGCCGCCGCCACGCACCTGAGGACCCCGAGGAAGGGGGCCAGTGCATCACCCTCGCCGTCCGGAAGGCGCTGGGGCTCCCAGTGCCGCGCGCGGCCGGGGCGGGGCTGGTGCAAATGCGCTGTTAAGGACGGCGCGGCGACTCACGCCTGGAATCCCAGCACTTTCGGAGACCGAGGTGGGCGGATCGCTTGAGCCCAGGAGTTCCAGACTAGCCTGGGCAACCTAGGGAGACCAAAATAAAAATAACAAACAAGCCGGGCGTGGCGGCGCGCTCTTGTTGTCCCAGCTACTCGGGAGGCTGAGGCGGGAGGATCGCTTGAGCTCGGGAGGTCGAGGCTGCAGTGAGCCTAGATCGCGCCACTGCCCTCCAGCCTGGGCGACAGAGCGAGGCTGAAAAAGATGCTGTCTAAAAAAAGATGCTGGAAGTGCCTGCTGCTGCCAGGTTTTAGCGCGACGTGGAGACCGCGACGTTGGCCTGCAGGTCTTAGCGCTAGACAGGCTTGGAACCTGACCGCGCGGCCCCGGCAAGGGGGCGGGACCGCCGCAGGTCACAGCGGAGACGCGAGTGGGCGGAGCCGGAGACACTCCGGGCTTGCGGATGGTCGGCCCGCGGCGGGCGGGGCCTCGCGCAGCGGTGTGGCGGCGAGGCCCACTTGGCTTCTTTCGGCGTTGGCCTGGGTGCTCGGCGAGGGCGCGCGGACCCCGCACCGGCGGCGGAGCCGGTATGGGCCCGCCCGGCCCTGGGCTCCGAGCCGCACGAGCACCAGCCTAGAGCCAGGTAGGCGGTGCTGGGCCAGGGCTGGGGACGGAGACAGAAGCGGGGGTCTCCGGGCGGCCGTGCGAGCCAGGGCCGGTGCTGGGGCCGTCGGGGTGGCGTGGTCCTCCTCACCTGGCGGCTCTGCGCGCTCTGGTGCCGGGAGTGTCGCCGAGCGTCGGGGAGAGATCTTGGCTCTACGTCCCTACTTCCTGCTCTCTCGGCTGCGCCCCGGGCCTGTATTTTGGGGCGGGAGGCCAGAGACTGCTCTTTCTCTACGGGCCCCGGGTCTGGCCCGTTCGGTCGTGCGGCGAGGGCCGGGCATCCCGGCCCGCAGTCCCGAGGAGGCGACGGGCCCTTCGTGGTCACTAGATCTGTTTACGCGTCACCCTCGGTGCCCGGCCGTTCCTCCACGCCCGGTAACTTGGGCTCGCGGGTGCCCGCCCGGGGCCTTGGTGCTGGAGTGGGGGCTGCAGGGGCAACACAGGTACTCTGATTTTGGGGCCACGAGGGCCAAACCCGCGCCTGCACGTAGGAGGTGCGCAGTGGACACGTGCGAGGTAGACGAGGGAACGGCCCTGGCCCCTATTGCAATCGAGAGATAGGTCTGGCACCCCAGCTTCCTTCGGAGCCACTCCTGAGTGACCTTGGGCAGGCCACCTCGTCTCCCCAAACCTTAGTTTTCCCCGGCGGAGTGGGGCGGACAGTCCCTGCTTTAGAGGTCATTGCCAGGGTTGTTGAGGCAACCGATGTTTCAAGGGCAGTGGGTGAGGGTCGGGTGCGGTGGTTCACGCCTGTAATTCCAGTGCTTGGGGAAGCCTAGGCGGGCGGATCACGAGGTCAGAAGATTGAGACCATCTTGGCCAACATGGTAAAACCCCGTCTCTACTAAAAATACAAAAATTAGCTAGGCGAGGTGGTGTGAGCTTGTAGTTCCAGCTACTTCGGAGGCTGAGGCGAGAGAATAGCATGAACGGGGGTTGGTGGGAGGTGGGTGTGGAGGTTGCAGTGAGCCGAGGTGGTGCCACTGCACTCCAGCCTGGCGACAGTGTGCAGAGCGAGACTCCATCTCAAAGAAAAAGTCTCACAGTGGCCCTGCCTCCTTTCTTGCCATCCCTGGAATTTTGCTCCATTTGAGGTTTGGTTTTCAGGACCGAAGCTTCAAGATGGCTGACCAAGACCTTGCGGGTATCAGCCCCCTCCAGCAAATGGTGGCCTCAGGCGCTGGGGCTGTGGTCACCTCCCTCTTCAGTAAGACCTTGGGAAGTGGGGTGGGGTCAGGTGGGGATGGGGCAGACCAGAGATTGGAGGCTGTGTGGTCCTGGGGGAGGAGTCCTAGGGGTGGGGTCCTGAAAGGAGCCCTCAGACTCACTTCCTCCCCCAGTGACACCCCTGGACGTAGTGAAGGTTCGCCTGCAGTCTCAGCGGCCCTCCATGGCCAGCGGTGAGTACCTGACCTGGAGCTAGTGAGGGGTGGTGCCTGGGCAAAAGAAAGATCTCCCAAAGGCCAGCCGTGGTTTCTCACACCTGTAATTCCAGCGCTTTGGGAGGCTGAGGCAGGGGGATCACCTGAGGTCAGGAGTTCAAGACCAACCTGGCCAACATGGTGAAACCCCCTCACTACTAAAACTACAAAAATTAGCCGGGCTTGGTGGCGGGCGCCTGTAGTCCCAGCCACTCGGGAGGCTAAGGCAGGAGAATCGCTTGAACCCGGGAGGTGGAAGTTGCAGTGAGCTGAGATTGTGCCACTATGCTCCAGGGTGGGTGACAGAGCAAGACTGTATCTCAAAAAATGAAATAAAAAGATCTTCCAGAGATGGGGTCCCTGGGGCTGGTGGGGGCTCTCCTGACTTGAGGGGCTGCCTTGTGTTTTAGAGCTGACGCCTTCCTCCAGACTGTGGAGCCTCTCCTATACCAAATGTGAGTGCCCCAAGCCACAGGGAGCCTGGGAGGGTGCAAGGGGGAGGGAGTCCTTGTCCCTGTCCCCAGGGCACCAGTGGACTCCACAGCCATGGACTAGTGTATACTCCCAGGTCCCGCCAGCCAGTCCCATGACCTGCACCAGAACATCCACACAGGGACCTGGCCTTTACTGGCCTTCCAGGGATAGGGGCCCACTGCCTCCCTGTAAGGTTCTAGGGTCCTGTCATTATAACGTCCCTTGCCTTTCCCCAGTGCCCTCCTCTCTCCAATCCACAGGGAAGTGCCTCCTGTACTGCAATGGTGTCCTGGAGCCCCTGTACCTGTGCCCAAATGGTGCCCGCTGTGCCACCTGGTTTCAAGACCCTACCCGTTTCACTGGCACCATGGTGAGGAGCAGCTGGGTCCATAGGGATTCGCCGGTGTCCGTGAGGAGTTGGGTCTGGCTGGGCAGCAGACCCAGGAAAGAAGGGGTTGGGCAAGGCACGCAGAGGTAGCCAGTTCAGTCAGAAAGTGCTTCCGGAGAAGGCAGTGTCTCTTTGAGGTGTTTGTTTTCTTTTTAGATGGAGTCTTGCTCTGTCACCCAGGCTGGAGTGCGGTGGCGTGATCTCAGCTCACTGCAACCTCCACCTCTTGGGTTCAAGTGATTCTTCTGCCTCAGCCTCCCAAATAGCTGGGATTACAGGCGTGCATCAGCACTTGCCGCTAATGTTTGTATTTTTAGTAGACGCTAATTTTTGTATTTTTAGTAGAGATGGGGTTTTGCCACGTTGGCCAGGCTGGTCTTGAACTCCTGCCTCAAGTGATTTATCCGCCTTGGCCTCCCAAAGTGCTGGCTGGGATTACAGGTGTGAGCCACCGTGCCTGGCCTCCATGAGGTTTTTGAAGGGTGACCAGGTGTCCACCTGGACCCAACTGGGGTATTGCACGTGTAGAGGCAGGGAGGCTTGAGGGCTGTGGGCAGAGGCTGAGGGCGTCAGGCAAAGGCCCAGCCTAGGCCAGCCCCATCACAGACCTCACTTGTGTCCCTCCTCTTCCCCTGGGCTGGTGCCTGCTTGGCCAGGACGCCTTCGTGAAGATCGTGAGGCATGAGGGCACCAGGACCCTCTGGAGCGGCCTCCCTGCCACCCTGTGAGTAGCCGGGTCCTGCACCCCTCTTCTCTGGTACCTCCTGACCCCTTGCGCCCTATTGAATGGCTAGGTGGGGCAGGTGATGCTTTAAAAGTTTGGGTCCTTTTGGGAGTCCCAGCTAATCTCTCTCCGTATCTCCAGCGTGATGACTGTGCCAGCTACTGCCATCTACTTCACTGCCTACGACCAACTCAAGGCCTTCCTATGTGGTGGAGCCCTGACCTCTGACCTCTACGCACCCATGGTGGCTGGCGCTCTGGCCCGCTGTGAGCATAGTCTTGGACCGTTGACCCCTCTCTGTCCCCACCTCTGCCCAAGCCCAGTCAGTCCCAGCTCCCAGCCCCAACCTCTGCCAGCCTGGGGGTGCGGGGGATGTTCTAGGTCCCTAGACCTGGGGCAGCAGTTACGTGATGCCATGTAAGACCTGTGACCTGACTTCTCCACACTGTCACCCCAATCCCTGCACAGTGGGCACCGTGACTGTGGTCAGCCCCCTGGAGCTTATGCGGACAAAGCTGCAGGCTCGGCATGTGTCGTACCGGGAGCTGGGTGCCTGTGTTCGAGCTGCGGTGGCTCAGGGTGGCTGGCGCTCACTGTGGCTGGGCTGGGGCCCCACTGCCCTTCGAGATGTGCCCTTCTCAGGTAGGCACCCGGGCTGTAAGGGGTGGATGAGGGAACCCTGGTCACAAAGGGTCTACGGCCAAGTCCCAGCTTTGTAACTAGTAACCACGAAGTTACTTAGCTTTTCTGAGCCATGGGTTTCTCATCTGTGAAATGGGCCTAGCAGGTAGAGTATTTGCCCAGGCTGTCAGGAGATTAATTCCTACAGAGAGCCTGCTTCCGAGCCTGCATGTAGCGGAGAACACTCACAGCTGGGAGGGAGTGGTGGCAGTGAAAGATGGAAGGTCTGGGACTACCTCCTTGCCCTCCCCATCTCTAATCAGTGCATCCCCCACCCCAAGCCCTGTACTGGTTCAACTATGAGCTGGTGAAGAGCTGGCTGAATGGACTCAGGCCGAAGGACCAGACTTCTGTGGGCATGAGCTTTGTGGCTGGTGGCATCTCAGGGACGGTGAGTGGACTGGGCTGGAGGTGAGGCCAGTGGAGGTCTCCCTGAGGGGGGTCCTGAGGGTTTTTGGAGATGCCCAGAAGCAGACCCCATGAGGCCTTTGTCCCTCCCAGCCGCAAGAGCCATCTGGGAGGAAGGGCTAGGGGTCCTGGAAGTGGAGCTGAGCCCTGTCCCTGCCCGCCCCACCAGGTGGCTGCAGTGCTGACTCTACCCTTTGATGTGGTGAAGACCCAACGCCAGGTCGCGCTGGGAGCGATGGAGGCTGTGAGAGGTGAGGGCCCAGGCGGGTGTGGCAGGGGACAGGCGGGGTCATGAATGGGGCCTCACTGAGCCGGCGTCGCGTTTGCAGTGAACCCCCTGCATGTGGGCTCCACCTGGCTGCTGCTGCGGAGGATCCGCGCTGAGTCTGGCACCAAGGGACTCTTTGCAGGTCAGTGTGTGGGTGTCGGGGTTGGGGGCAGGGCGGGGCCTGCGACCCTGACCCCTGACCCGGGCCTCCTTTCCTCTGCAGGCTTCCTTCCTCGGATCATCAAGGCTGCCCCCTCCTGCGCCATCATGATCAGCACCTACGAGTTCGGCAAAAGCTTCTTCCAGAGGCTGAACCAGGACCGGCTTCTGGGCAGCTGAAAGGGGCATGGAGGCAAGGACCCCGTCTCTCCCATGGATGAGGAGAGGGCAGGAGGATACCCAGCCAAGTGCCTTTTTCTCAGCACTGAGGGAGGGGGCTTGTTTCCCTTCCCTGCTGGCGACAAGCTCCAGGGCAGGGCTGTCCCTCTGGGCGGCCCAGCCCTTCCTCCGACACAACTTCTTCCTGCTGCTCCAATCGGGATCATCACTTTCCCACCCACCAAGTGCAAGACCAAATCTTCCAGCTGCCCCCTTTGTGTTTCCCTGTGTTTGCTGTAGCTGGGCCTGTCTCCGGAAACCGAGAAACCCTCAGCCTGGCAGAGTCTCCCTGACCCCTGTTAATTCCTTGAGTGTAAAGATGATGAACTTCTGCCTGGCGCCTGTCCTTTTGGGGCCTGGGGTGGCTGGGAGGGAGGATTGGGAGGGTCCCTGGTGCTGGTTTGGCTGCCCAGGGTGGCACCCATAAAGAGGACCTCTCCAGCTTGGTGAGAGTCAGTGGGGGTGAGGACCTAGAGTGTGAGGGACCACAAGTAGATATTCTGGTGGTGAGGTCCCTTTGGGGACCACCCCCATGTTAGGGTTAGAATAGGGGATGGTAGGGGCCAGGCATGGTGGCTCATGCCTGTAATCCCAGCACTTTGGGAGGCCAAGGCGGGTGGATCATAAGGGCAAGAGATCAAGACCATCCTGGCTAACATGGTGAAACCTCGTCTCTACTAAAAATACAAAAGTTAACTGGGCATGGTGGCGGGCGCCTGTCAAGTCCCAGCTACTCGGGAGCCTGGGGCAGGAGAATCCCTTGAACCCAGGAAGCGGAGTTTGCAGTGAGCTGAAATAGCGCCACTGCACTCCAGCCTGGCAACAGAGCGAGATTCCATCTCAAAAAAAAAAAAATGCGGGAGGCTGAGGTAGGAGAATGGCGTGATCCCGGGAGGCGGAGCTTGCAGTGAGCCGAGATTGCGCCACTGCACTCCAGCCTGGGCAACAGAGCGAGACTCCGTCTCAAAAAAAAAAAAAAAAAAAAAAAATGGGGATGGTAACATCTCTCCTTAAGGGCACACTTAAGCGACAGCAGAGGAGTGAGGGCTGCTGCTTAACTGTCAGGCTCTGGCCTAAGAGGGGTCTGCAACTTTGGGCTAAAGCACCATTGCTGAGGTCAGCACAGGGCACTGGCCCCACGAGGGTGTGCCTCCATCCTGCCCCCAGCGTGCTTGGCCTCCTCAGCCTGGGATTGAGCGAATTCTTAAAGGCTGTTGGGTTGGAGGGCACTTGCATGTCTTGGGCCTGCCCTGGGCAGACCTAATATTTTGGGCACTTAACACAGAAGCTACCCACTCCCTGAGTGCTGGCCTGCCTGTCCCTACAGGGTACATGCTACTGCTGCCTGACCTTGGTCATGGGCCAGGCACTGACTCTACTTCAGACCTCAGGACGGGGCCCTTCCCCAGCCCCCCACATACAAGGCTGCCCTCAGTCCTCTGGTTTTTATTTGCCTGACCCCCCCGCAGAGCTCCTGCCCTGGGGGCTGAGGAAGGAGTGACTCCAGGGCATACACAGGGACAGATGGAGAGGCTAGAGACTGGGAGGTGGGGGTGTGGAAGCTGGGCCGCCAGCTCCTGATGGGGAAGGGGAGATGAGTGAGGGAGTGCCAGGGTCACCAGAAGAATGGAGCAGGCTTCCCCAGGGGTCCCTGCGGCTTGGGCACCCCTGCCTCCTGGCCCAGCCTGCTTTCCTCCGCAGCCCGTGCTGCTACAGGCAAGGAAGCTAAGGTGAGCAGAGGGGATCTTCCCCTAGAGAACCCTGGCTCGGTGGGCAGCATTCTCTGCAAGGGTAGCCTGGACTGGGGGACTCGTTGAAGAAGGGTGGCAGATGTCCATGGCCCCTGGCAGGTGGGGCTAGCACTGCTCATGCCGTTCCTCAGCTGGGGCTCAGTGCCGGGCTGCCCTCGGGACTGTCGCTCACCAGGCACTCGTTGGATTTGAAGCTCGCCAGGGACTTGCAGCTGGGAATGGAGGCCAGGGAGCCGCAGAGGCCCAGCATGGAGGGCGTGGGGTCCTTCCCTGGGGAGAGAGGGCGGGTGAGGCCGGGCAACCAGTCTGCATGTGTGGGAGTTGGTAGAGGGGTGGGCAGTGAAAAAGCAGCCCTCAAGTCACCCCCCAGGGGACCTTGATATATTCCAGAGCATTTGCCATTTTCAGTTAAACTTTGGTTAAGCACCTGCCTGTGCCAGGCACGGCGCTGGGGACACTGTATTGTAATCGTCAGTTGATGTCTCTGTCTCCCCCTGAGGGTCATCCTCTCTCTTTGTCCATTTATTAAATACACAGTGAGCACTCGCTCTGTTCAAAGCACTGGGGATACAGAGAACGGACAAGACACGGTCCCTGCCCTCATGGAGCTCACAGTCTGGTGGGGGAGACAGACACACAGACAATCACAAACAGTGTGATGGGGCTACATGGCCACAGCCTGCCTTGTCTCAAAGAAGGTCTAGGGTCATCAATACAGTGTGGTTGCTTATAAAAAAGAAAAGACGGGTTATCCAGGCATAGGGAGAACTAGGATGGGAAAAACCAAGGTGAAGCCAGGGATGAGGTCAACACAAAGTGCATGCGTTGAAGTCCTGGGCATTCGCTCGAAGGGAGCCACTAATTTGGCTCTGAGCTTCCTGGCAGCCAAAGAGAAGGGGAAAACAATGGTCAGGCAAGTAGTTCACAGTGTGCATGAGATAAGAGCAAATTAGTCTGAGGAGTTCCTCTAGAGTTTGTGAGCCCCCTGAGGATGTCATGACACTGAAAAGCCACTAAGCCCTCACCACATGACAACACTGGTGATTATCAACATCCCCATTTTACAAAGAATGGACTCATGGAGGTAAAGTGATTGACCAAGCTCACATGGTCAGAGGAAGCACAGCCAGGATTTATGTTGGGTTCTGCGTATGCTGGGTTCTGACACCCCAAGTAAGCTCTCAATTGCTGTGCTAAGCCCTCAAAAAAGGCCGAGAGAGGCCGGTCACAGTGGCTCACGCCTGTAATCCCAGCACTTTGGGAGGCTGAGCCGGGTGAATCACTTGAGGTCAGGAGTTCAAGACCAGCCTGGCGAAACTCCGTCTCTACTAAAAATGCACAAATTAGCCACGCGTCTCTAAAAATACACAAATTAGCCACGTGTGGTGGCGGAAGCCTTTAATGGCAGCTACTCAGGAGGCTGAGGCAAGGGAATCCCTTGAACCCGGGAGACGGAGGTTGCAATGAGCTGAGATTGCACCACTGCACTCCAGCCTGGATGACAGAGTGAGACTCTGTCTCAAAAAAAAAAAAAAGAAAAGAAAGGCTGAGAGAATGAAAGAGGCAATGGGCTAGGACCTGCCTCCAGGCCTCAGGGCCTTGCCTCAGCCCTTCCTGGAGGGGTACTGGGTGTTGGGGTTGGGGGAGCTCACCGATGGGACCCCAGGGCTCCTCGTCCCGTGTGCCCTCTCCCAGGCGCTGGGAGTCCGAGCTCAGACTGGCTTCAGCTGACAGGGGCTCCGTGCTCATGAAGCTGTGTCTGCGGCAGAGCGAGAGCTGGTGCACCGGTAGAGGAAGCCCTTCTTCCCCAGGACGACCCGCTCTCAGGCCCAAGCCGCACCCGGCTGGGGCTTACCTCCGGTAGAGCTTGGAGTTGCTGGCGCCCTCGGCCCCATTAAGCGTTCCCAGTGAGGGCCATTGGTTGACCAGGGGTGTAGTGAGCTCCTTGGAACCCTGGGCCAGAGGGGCGTGGTCACTGGGGATCAGACCTGTCCTGGGAGGGGGAGGAGGAGTCAGGCCTGGCTGGAAGTAGGAGAAGTGAGGAAGGAGATTCAGCAAGGGGATGAGGGAGGGGTCAGGAATGAAATCTGAGCGGCAAAAATGGGGATACGGTGTTGGGGTCAGTGGGCCAGATCCCGGCAGGAAGTGGAGGCGATACTGGGGTGGACGGGTGACTGGGAGTTGGAGGGAATGGTACAGTGTTGTAGGGGTCAGTTGGGGTGATGGGGGCTTCAGTGGAGAATAGTGTGGGAATCTCTGAAGGGTAAGGTCGTCTTGGGGATCCTGCCGCAAGATCAGGGTGATGGAAAGGCTTAGAGAAGAAGTGTTACAGGGATCGGTAGGGGTGAGGTCGGGGGTAACAGCGGGTGATGACGGTCAGTGAGCCTGTGGTGCAGGTGAGTGAGGTGATGAATGCTGGGAAGTGTGCAATCGTGTTGAAGGTTGAAGAGCAACACCTCAGGTCCTCGTGAGTGACGTGGGGTCCCTGCAGTAAGGTTGGATGGCCACTCTAGCTGAAGGGTAACTGAGGGTGAAGTGGGGCTCTGGCTGTTGGAGGTCACTGGATCTTATGCTGGGGGCAATGTTAGAAGATCATTGTGGGCATCTCGGGGTGGGCTGGCTGGATCAGAGGGTTGATGCTGGAGAGGTGGGTGCTCGTGTTGGGTGATGTTAGAGTCGATGGAAGTGAAGATGGGGTTCGCCCGATGATGTGGTCGGGGCGGCCGGGGTCAGGGGTTAGGGCAGGCCATGCGCTCACAGCTGCTCCTGCAGCTCCAGGATCACGCCTTCCAGCTCCCTCTTCTCGCGCTGGTTCTGCGCCGCCGCCTCCTCCAGCTGCAGCTGCAGCCGCCGGTTCTCCGCCTCCAGGTCCTTCAACTGCGACTCGCGCAGACGCACCAGCTCCTCCAGGTAGCCCTGCGGGGCGCCGGCTCAGCCCGGGCGGCGCGGAGGACTTCCCCGCCGCGGCCCGCGGCCCCGCCCCGCCCCGCCGCGCCCCGGGATGCCCGAATCCCCCGCGCCGGCCCGCCGGCCCCCCAGGCCCGCTGTCGTCGCGCACCTTCTGCGCGTAGACGATGCGGAACTTCTGCTCCATCTTGTGCCATTTGCTGTACCAGCTGTCTTCGTCGGTGACGAGCGGCAGGTACGGGTGCTCGGGCGAGTTGTCCTCGCTCGTGCTGCTCTCGGCGCTGTGCCGCTCCTCCTCGTCGGTCAGGTAGTCGTAGCTTGGGAGAGGGAGTAGTGGGCACGGCCGGTCCCGCCCCTCCCCCCGCGCGTCTGCGCTGGCCGCCGAGGGCAGTGGGACCAGGATGTCCCCAGGATGTCCTGAGGACCCCCCCGTCCCCCGCCCCGCCGCAGTCATGGAGCCGCTCACCTCTGTGTAAACTTTAAGTAGGGCGTGTAATCGATGACCACGGGGGTCTTCCCGTCCAGGACTTCCCCCTTTAGACAGAAGCTGAGGCAGAGGAGCCACAGGGTTGGGGGTGGGTGTGAGGGGTTGGGGTAGGACATTTGTCAGGGAAACAGCCCCCTCCACCACTGCCCTCAGGCAGACCCCACCTGAAGTCGATGGCGCTCAGTCCG